TTACGGCCTCGTAGCAGCAGCAGCCACGACCCTCTTGTGTATGGGTGTGCACTTTCCTGGGTGCGTGCAGTATATATATATATACATACATATTGGGTAACGGTGAAATGTGTGCGATTAAAAGGGATAGCGCGTTGAATAATTTACTCTTCGATTTTTGTTACCCGCATCGTATTTATCATAACCATAGTAATACAAATAATAATAATAACAATAAAAATAACAATAAATGTACAAAAAATAATAATAATTGTAATGTCGTTGTTACATTATTGTAGCCTCGGGGACGATTCGTATCGATGGTTAGGATCGGTTCCACGGTTTTGAGCTTTTATGTTTGTCTTGTCGTTGTCACAGCGGTTTTTCGATTCTTCGTATATTTTCTATAGAGTTAATAGCCCGAGACACCTGTTTGAACGTGAGCAGAAAATATATCGAGGACCATGTGGTGACTCCACGTTTTTATTTACGTAGAACTGCGATTCAATATGTATACATTTTCATCGAAATTTGATTTTTCTTTTAAACCGATAAGCAGCCGACTTGGGTGTTAATTTTTTGTTATTGTTCCGTTTATTAATTTTTCGATGTGGAGTATCGAGTGTGCACTGTACAAGTGTTTATTGGCGAATAAATAGTTCGTTCGGGTAAGGTAAAAGTTCGTTATTATTCATGGAATGCTTCCATGGTCGTGGAAAATAAAAATAAATAAATTAAAATCAAACAAAACGTATCTTTTGAATGGTAAATTATTATAATGCACAAAATAACGTAAAATTTAATATGTTATAGTTATCCTGTAATGGAAGTTTTAAAATAGAGACGTAAATTGTAAAACGCTAGGACAAGGTTGATATTGTGTTGATACTGCTTGCAACAATTATTTTTTCAATATAAAAATCACACTCGAAAATTAAAACTATGTACGCGAAGTTTCAAATTTTTTTGTAATAATCGCATCCATGTACTTTTTACTTTGATAGTCTCAGTTCAATGAAAAACAAAAATTGCACATCATCTGTCGAGTTTATAATGCTTAGGTCCGTTGTAAAGTAAATCAGCAGTGGAAATTATGTCTGAAATGGCAACTACTCGAAAACAGTAGACAAAACAGAAGGAGATCCATAAATCTTCCTCCCATAGATAGTGCGGTGTGAGGATTGGTACACAAAATCCCAAGAATAAGTGAATGTACCAGAAGTATCTGAAAATAATTAATTTATTCCACTACTGTAAAAACATTATATAAATTTGATAGCAAAGCTACGCACTTTTGTAGAAACTTAAATAAATGCACTTTCTGTTGGTACAATCGTTGATCTTGCAAATCAGAAGTAATTTCTTTATTTACCAGCCACGATAAATTACTCTTCAACCAAAACATTTCAATTTTGGATGTGTAAATAATTCAGGTGTTTGTAATATTACATTCGAGTACATTTAGTACTTTGCAATACTCACTTTCATCATTGATGTGAGTAATACGTTTGAAACAAGCTTGATACCATTAGTCAGTTCACAATCGTTGTTGGAGAATAGGCGTGGAAAAAACGGAAGAGAGTGATTGTTTACCATCGTCAGAACCAGGACTGTAAATACAATAATACCATTACTACATCGACAGCTTTTTCTAACTTTAAATGTGATGTTTGTACTTTACCGAACAAAATCGTCAAACATTTAGCCTCGTAGAAGCAATAGTACAATCCGAAGGTGGTAAAAACGTGCAGTAGCATCGATAGTAAATCAGTATACTCGTAATCAAACCCGTGATTCGTACTCTTTTCGAACTCTGACGAGGTGGATGTCCCTTTGACGGTTCTTGGAGATTTTCTGTTTGCGTGGGCGGCTTTTAAAACAACTTCACTCATGTTTGATGAAATTTTTTTTTTTTTTACTCCTTTGCACGTGTAAACCACAGAGTACAGTGAGCGACTTCCGGAGTAAAAGTTGGGTTTCTTCATTTATATGCTCAAAGCTCATCACCATCGGTAATTTATGGATGGTCGGGAGGCGTTTTTAATAATTTATTTCAAAATCCATACTGCATCGAATTTGCATGGAAAGCATCACTTTTTAAACGAGAAATCAATTAAAAATAATGATCAATATGTTTTTATTTAATTTTTCCATCCATTCTTTACCGTAGCGTGAATCATACTTTAATCATGGACATGTAAATTTTGTTATCTCGCGACCTTTCAAATTAAAGACAAATATACAAATCATACGCGTGTTGATTATAATTTTAAATCAAGTTCATATGAAAAAGTTCAAAGGTTGTGCGTCAAAGTGGCAGCTGACTCTCAAAAATAGTTTCTTTTAATTAAATTTCTCATTTCGTTGCCTCAAACACTTCCAAAACGAACACGTTTAAGGGCGTAAAATTAAAAACGCGATCCCGCAAAGCGGAACACGCAATCACGTAACAATGTATTTTTTTTTTTTTTTCCAAAATAAACAAAAGAGAAGAGAGACGTGCAAGTCACGTGTACATCAACAGCAGATTAATATCCCTCCAACACCCGACAGCCAACAAAATCCCGGAGCCCTGAGATAAACTCATTATACCGATCAGCGTTGGCCTACACTACCGGCTCCGAGTTAATTTGCATCGCGGCGCGTAACGCGCTTCTTATTCCCTGTCTCGTGTGCTGGCCTAAAATTGCAGCTCCAGAAATGAAGAAGACGAAGAAGAGCGCACAAGCCAACCCGTCCATTAGACGTATGATTTCCCCGCTCTGTCATTTATCTTCCTCTGCCGAAAAGCCCGCAATTGTTGTCGAAACGCAAGGATGATGATTCTCCCCTTTTTTTTGTGACTGCAGTTATTGTTCGTTATTGTGCACAATGAGACATTTCGTGGGTAAAATTTTTTTTTTTTTTTTTTCAATATACACTTTGTCTGGAAAGGGTGTCCTGTCACGTGAGAATTTTTTTTTCCCCCGGAAATCGATGATGATTGGGGAGACCGGCGTTGACCGCAAGTCTTACAATTTTACCGATTCCGGAGCTCCGGTGAGGGTCGCGTGGTAAAAAATATATCGACGGAGTCGGTGAGTTTTTGGTACGTTTAACGAAAATTATACATACATGTCCCTTGCGACTCTTGTATTTTTAATATTCGAGAATCCCCAACAATTGGGTTGAGGCTCGTAAAGGAACAAAAGAAAAGGAAGTACTTAAAAAAAATCTCTGTGCACGTATAAAAGAAGTCTTGAACGCGCAAAAATACTCGTAGATAGGAAGAAAAGTAAAACGAAAAAAATCAAAGGGTAGAACGAGAGCAGCAGATTGTCACGAGATGAAAAAGAGGAAGAAGCAGCGAACCTCGCTTACCCTCTCTCTAGCGAAAAATGAGGGGGAAAAAAAAAATTGAAAAATAAAAACTCACTGGCCGACGAACCTCGTGGTGTTGTTTTTCGGGCGGGAGTAGGTGCAGCACAAAAAAAGGTAAATAAAACCTCGTTCTCTTTTCCCTTCGCTGTTCTCCTGTTTCTTCCGTGCGGGCAAGCAGATAGGTACTATAGTGCAGCTCATGGATGCACGCCATCTGTTCACCGACCACCTGCTGGCAGGTGTAAACCGTAAAGAAGAGCGGGAGAGGAGGAGGAAGGTAAGGAAAGAATCGAGTGCATGTAGGGCCCCAAACGGCGTTCGTAGTATACGTACTACTATTTACTATATAGTGGCGTTTTATGCCGGTATACCGTATTATGGACACGTGTCCGAGCAGATGAGGGAACATCGTTCCTTGATTTCTACGTGACGCAGTAGAGATGGTAATTTTTTTTTTTTTTTTTTTTTCATATCTGCCTGTATTTTTTCTGTTTTACGAGGTAGAGCGATATTTATAAATTATTAATACACTGAGCCAAGGAAAAGGCTTATTTAGCCGTACTGAAGCTTACGTTGGTACAGAAAAAGTGGAATTTTCGATATTTGCAGAAATCTATTGTCACTTCCACACGTCTAGTAGCAGAGAAATTATGATTTTTGATTATTTTGCTGAAAAATAAAATGTTTTTAAATTTTTCCTGACAGAAAAATAGTGCAGGGTTTAAAGAACAAAAAATGACTTCAAGAGACGAATATTTCTGTTGTTTTGATCCAAAAAACAAGAAAAAAATTTCACTGAGTTGAACAGTATATACGGTGTAAGGACTTGAGGAGAAGTCAGTGCGAATGAGATTTTTTTTTTTTTTTTTCTCCAACAAATGTACGGATGGTGATAGCAGTATACCTGTCTCGTATGGATGTACTGTAAGCAACAGGCCACCCCACCGTCGTCACACGTAGTATCGTTCATTCGAACTGGCAGAGGCCAACCGCACGATGATCCGCCGATAATAACACGGGCTGACACAATACGAGAGAAAAGTACGATTGTGTACCCACAAGCTCCCAGGTGTTTTTGTTTTTCTCTTTTCTTTTCCGGGTACGCGTAAAACAAGAAGAATGACGGGAGAAAAACAAAATGAAGACTGTGACTGTGGCGAATAAACTTTGGGGAACGACTTTTACCTACGTATAAATAGAGGCGAGGCTGCGTCATGTTGTTATGTCTTATTGTGCTGTAAGTCAAGGTGGACACGCCGCGTAATGGTGAAAAGGGCGAGGCAAATTTATTTATTGTTGGATGGGCTCACCGCGATTCTCCCTCTCTCCTTTCTCTCCTTCGTGCTATTATTTCTGCTTACTCTTGATCCATCTTTTGTTCACTTGTTGTCAAAGTGCAAGTGCTCATTTGGGTAATAAAAATAAAATCAGCTGATCAATGTACAATGTCATAAAAAATGTTGCAGGATGATGAATTTGAATGAATTCGTTTTTTTTTTTTTTTTTTTTTTTTTTTTTTTTTTTAAAAAAAAAAAAATTTTTTTTTTTTTTAATTTTTTTTTTTTTTTTTTTTTTTTTTTTTTTTTTTAATGTAACGACAAAAATGTCATTAATTCTTAATACGTGTATTAACGTTTCGTGGTTTTTTTTCGTAATTGCAGGCGGCGATACTCCAGCAGACCGCCGAGTACATATACCAGCTCGAGCAGCAGAAGACTCAATTACTGTCGCAAAATCTGCAATTGAAACGGCTGGTGGACCAGCACGAGGGAGGCGAAGCGCCGCCCAACAAGAAGCGCAAAAATGACAGCCAAGGTACGTGCACGGTATACAATATAAACACATGATGCCGCGATCTCCGGTTCAGAGTCCGAATTTTCCCCCCTTTTTTGCAAGCCTGTGGTTTTCGTTCTTCGAGCATCAGGAGCGCGAATGGACGTATCGGTGGTACTTACGGGCTGCTCGATTGATTTTACAATTGAAAAAAAAGGGGGGATTCCCTCTCGTTACGAACACACGGCCAAGACCACCGTGGAACCGGTAATACGAGTATCGCGAAGCTCTCTTGATGGAGTTTCGATGCTTCATCTCCGCACGCGTACGTCCTTCTTTGGCGTGCTTTTTAATTTACAATTCCGGGAGGTCGAAAAAGAGAAACTATTGAGTTGCTGCAGAAGGACAGAGACGCAATACAAGGGCAGAACAATTAGACTAGTGCGCGGTTTCAGGAACAAATTTTGGATAGGTCCCTTCGGATGATTGCCTTTCGTGTCAGTGCTCACTGTCAGGAAATTAAAAAATCAGTTCTCAACAGCTGGTTGTCTGGTCGGGATTTTGTTTCAAAGGCTGATTGAGTTTACTTTTGGGGGTGTAATGATTATGGACTGGTTTTTTTTTTTTTTTTTTTTATTGAGCAGTGGTTAGCTGATTAAATTATTAAATTGAAAATTAATTTTATGGTACCCCTACGTTTCACAGCACGTAGTTTTTTTATTTTATTTTTTTTCTGATGTTTGTATTCTTCCCGTGCGATAAAAGACAATTCCTGTTACACTTGGAAAAATCTCGTGGTGAAAATTAAAAGTAGAAAAAATATTCGTCATTGTCCAAGTATTTTTCCAACCAAATGATAATTTATTTCTTTGTAAAACTGTATTTAGTAGTTATTTGAGTCCTACAATGATCGTGACTTTGCATTTCACGAAACAAACATAAGAATAATAATTCTTTGACGCCAACAACCACTAAATAATTATTACACCCTTACGAGGAAACTTTGGTTCAATTAATAGTCACGTTGTCGGGTACTACTTATAACTACTTTTATTTCACTTACAACCATCCGAGGATGTAAATAATAGTAACAACAACAATAATAACACTAATCACCTCCTCACAGTGTAGCCATACATCCCGCGCCCACGTGCGCGCGTAAGAGAGAGGGAGGGAGATTTCTATCATCAGGACAATTACCATAATTCATGCTAATGCGGCGCCGCCGTCTTCGGCGCCGTGCGAAATTGAAATTATACCTCCTTATTGCGCTATGTGTATATAATAGGTATCAGGTATAGGTAGGTATAGGTATGCACGTGTAAAACGCCGTTATATAAATTTCGGCCTGTTCTCGCGTCGTTAAGAAAATAGTGTCGTTAATAGATATTACGCCGTCGCTCTTTTCGGCCATTTGAGATAAGAAGGAAGAGAGATATGGGAGGGAGTACTCGTCGGAGGGTATCGTGTATGGGTGGGTCGTTTTAACGATGCGACGAATGGCCACATGCGAGATAAACGTCGCATTTGTAACTAGTTGTAAGTGCATTGGAAAATACGCCGTGCGCCCCTCTCTTGGCGTTGCCGCGAACGCGATAAGTGGGCATACAATGTACTTACTTACGGAGCGTTTATACGTTTTAGCGAATCGATGTTTTTTCTCGGCAGCTGTTACAGGTTTTTTTTTAAATTTGATTACTGCCCAAGAATTCATGCCTACAAGGTGACGTGAACATTTTGTGACTCGTAGTTTTTCAACTTATAATCAACGATTGTAATTGTGTAGATCGATACTCTCGTGCGAACATTGAAAAAAAAAATACATTGTGTACAGTTACCGAGCACTCGTTAGCTCAATTAGCTAAACGTTTAGAAAAATTTAGAAAGCCCCCTACTGTCCCTCGTATCGACTTAAAATCGATCCATTTGAACAGAAAGAAAGAAAGAAAGAAAAATGAGAAAAACAAACTACTTTGTCCAAAAGGGGTCGTGATGAGCCTGCCCATGCACATGAGCGAAAGCGGGGACGAGGGCCTGGGCAGTATGTCACCCGAGCCGTTGTCGGTGATAACCGTGTCGGCCGAGGGCCACGCGGCCATAACCGCGGCCGCCAACGAGGTCGCCGAACTGAAGCGCCAGCTGGAGCACGAGCGCGCCTCCCGAGCCCACTTGGAGAAACAGCTCAGGTCGATGCAGAGCCAGCTGTTCCCGGAGCGCTTCCGCGAGGAGCAGCTCATCGCCTATCAGCCCCACGAGGTATTTTTGTCATGTTGTTCTTGTCGTTTTTGTCTATTTAAAAGGATCGAAGCTGAAAAATGTGTTTATTAACCAAATGTAAAAGCAACCCTACCCTGCAATTGAAAAAAAAAAAAAAAAATAATAAAAGTAACCAACTCACCGGTCAGGAGGAGCAGGCAAACGATCCCTAGACAGAGCAACCTCGGCGACATGATCGTCGTCGTTCACCGTCGCGTGAGCGTCTGAAACAAGCCGCACCCTCTCGACCCCTCTATATGCGCACCGGTGCTCTCCTCCTCC